CTCTTTCTTTAAGTAGGGAGACCTTCAAAATGTGGACTTGTATACTGCATATATTTTCATGCCCTTGAAAGCCCAACTTTCTCAAACTCTCAACATAGCCTCTCTCAGCACTTGTAACTCAAAACATCTGTCAGTAAAAGACTTGGGCTCTCCCCACTTCAATTGTGGAAGAGAAAGAAAAGTAGACCACAGGTAGTTTTGTGGACTGTCCCTGTTTTTTGGCAATTAGCTCTTAATGTCACCTTAATCAACTCCATTGCTAGTATCCTTTTCTACTGCGGGGGACTTGGGTGAAAGGCAAAATTAGAGGAAATAGGCATGTTGTAGGGAATCGCTGCTGGACTGTGTTAGTAATACGGGTTCGCACAGAACACAGGACAGTAAGATCCACTGATGTGCTTGCAGCAGCCTCATTTTGTAACTATATTTTCTCCTTTCCGATTTCTTCTAAATCAATACAGAGCAATTAGAGCAATAGATTTCAGTGCTTTGAAGAGCATTACATTTAAGTGGTGTGATTCTGCATATGCAAGACAAATGTGCTTAAAGAGAGAAAACACAATCACTATCATTTGCAGAGGTGTTTTTAATCTTTCTTCATTGAAGCAAAATTTATATTCCACTTGCTCAGAGAAGACTTCAGGAGGAAGATGACTTGTTGGTTCATTCCTATGTAGGTTTTTTTTTAAAAAACTAGAGTAATGGACTTCACTGGTAGCACAGTTAGTTATGCAGTAATGAAATGAAAGTGGTACCCAGTTTGCTCAAGCAGTGAGTATATGGGGAATGTGGGAAAGATATACCTACGTACATGCTTTTGTAAAGCTCAAAGCAAGGCTGGGACACATAGTCTCAGAAGATTTATACTATGTTTTTTCATATTGGCATTCAGTGAGATCCCAAATCAAACTATTACTTAGTCTAAAAGTTTATTATTGCTGGGGCTTTGGTGAGGAAGGACATAAAAAATGGCAGCATGTGTGAGCTGTACCTTTTCAGATGTTTTTCTGTAGCTAGCTAAACTGCTGGGTTTATGTTGGATGTATTCTAGTAAAAATGATGCATTTAAGGCTAGGCATTCTATTTTTAATACAATAAGAAATGTCCAAAGTTTTGTTCAAAATTCAAACTAAACTTTTATCAGAGCACAAAGAAAGCTTCATAACCAAAATCATTTTAATTTTATCAAAACTTAGTTCTTACTGATTTTAGCTGAGACCCATAGTAAGATTATAAGCTTCAAAACATGCAAACATGGCAAAGTGTACAACAGCTATGGACTGTTAAAAATAGGCCAGAGGGCCTATTGTCATGAGATACCCAATGCAACTATTTTATTTCAATCTGTTGTTAATGAAGGGGCTCACAAACTTTTGTGTCCGTATCTTAAACCAGATTGATAATGATTTGTTGATCACTACCATGGACTGGTGTCACCAATCACCTGTTCTAGTTACAGCATAATAACATATATTTGCAGAAAGAAGTATGAAAAAAATAGGATTTTCCATTACACTACATTGACTGTATTTTTCACTGTATATGTAATTTATTTCTATCTTTACATATATTCAGTGATAATTTAAAACGTAGTGACAAACCTAAGAATAAAAATTAAAAAAAAAAAAGGAAACACATTAATAAAGAACTTTCCTTTAGCTCAAATGGCTGACTGAATTAAGAGGTATGGTAGGGTTCCGGTCACATACCAAAACATCTAAAATCGAGATGCTTAGAGAAGGGTAGTCATCCGTATGCTTTCAGTATTCAAGGAGAGAGAGAGAGGACCTCCTGCTCTGCTAGGGTGAGATGATTTGCCTTGCAGAACTGGCTATCATTGTTCCTTGATGCTAGAAGGATCACTGGCATCAAGCAGACACCTGACTTGTAAATGGCTGAATGTAAGCGAGTTAAATCCCATCCCATTCTATTTCACTTTTCTCTCTCAAGTGTATGAACTTGCTGGCAGCAGAACTGTGTGTTTTGCAGGGTCACTAACACAATAGCTGATGAGCGTAGGAACACCACGGTCAGTGGATTAGTTGCAGAATTCAGCAAGCCAAAAGCAATGTGTGAGTACCAGGGGGATCACAGTCATATTCTCATGGTGTCCTGGGGCCGTGCAGTGTTGCGGGAGCCAAATGCGGGAGCCGGACAGGCTCAACCACTTCCAGCTGCCGTCAACCCAAACTGCAAAGCAAGAGGCACCAGCGCCAGCTGTACCCACAGCCACATGCCTGAGCTGTGGGGATTTTTCTGGAAGGGAAGGTTTTTCAAGATGGATCTGAAAATATTTTGTTTGAATCACAACCAAAATGATGTCATAGCAGATTGTCTACTGGAATCGGAAGTCTGAGTACAGGGTGCAGATGAGTTAGCTGTAACTCTTCAACTTCTGGTTGAAGACAATCCTGACCCTTCACTTCTACTCCTTTCTTCCTTTATTTATTTTGCTCGTAACAGAGCCAAACATGTAATTTGTTATAATTACATTAGGCCCTCAGTGGTGACTCGTAATATTACAGGCACCAGCAGAATTAACCGTCATGAACAGAGGAATTTTTTAACCCAAAATAAATTGTTATATCTGAGTTATAAACCTTTGAAATTAAGCTGTTGTCTTAAAAACCATACAGACTAGTAGTAACACTGGTAGCTGCCTCTGTAACAAGAAGCAGAGCTACAGATAAAAAAAATTTGTTATTTTAAGTGATGTCAAGCTTCTGTAGTACTAATTTGAAAAACAAGCAAGGAATTATTAGACGTTGCTTTAAAGTTTGTTAACTGAAAAACTGAAAACCCATGAACACAAAGGTTCCTCATCTGGAGAAAAGAAGTTGGTAAAATTAAAACCAAATGTGTGATGTACCGTGACAATAGCCAAAAGTGTTTGACTGCCTATGTGTGTATCTATATATTTATGAGTATATACAGTTTTTATATACATACTCACACGTACAGAAGATACTATAGTACTTCAAATTTCCTTCCTTTTTTATCTATAAAACTAATTGCAAATTATTTCTTTTTGTTCTTCTCACAGCTGAATTTTTATTCCTCTTGTGGGGTGTTTATCTCTGCTATGCAGTGCGGACAGTCCCATCAGCATTTCATGAGCCACGTTATATGGCTGTTGCAGTTCACAATGAGCTCATTATCTCTGCTATATTCCATACAATTAGGCAAGTGATCTGTAGATCTAGTAATTAACTGTTTATCTTTCAGGTTTCGTACGGTGCAATTTAAAATGGGTAAATGGGATAGGATGCATAACGGAAGGACTCATAAATATTTAATTCTACAAATTAAGGAATTACTAAGCTTAAAACTGTTCCCATAGGATTCAAGAATATGTACAATCAACTTGATAATCTTATAATTGTTTTTTTTCCAATATAGCTAGCTGATATGTACTTGGATCAAAGTTCAGTATATATGATAAATTAGATGTAGCAGAACTACTGTCTTGATTCATTTACATACAGCTCACTGGTTTGTATCTCTAGAAAAATAGCAGGTAAGAATGTCGGTTTATGTGAACTTTTCCCAGTGTGTAACAGATTGGCAAGGTGCAGTTGTATGTTAAGATAGTTGTACTGGTTCACGCATGAAGCATAATGGTTTATATGCTCGCCTAAAAAGCTGTTATGCACATGATGCTGTAACAGTTATATAAGGCACATGTTCCTTACAAAGTTTATAATGAGCTCTGCACTTCAGACTTGTAAGTTATTAGAACAGTAGCTAATAAATAAGGGTCTCTGCCAGAGCTACACGCAAATTAGTGCATTTGCCTTTCCCGCAGAGAACCCTGTAGAAATGAATTGCTCATAGAAAATTCAAAACAACAAGATAGCATGACTTTCAGTTCGTGTTGTAAGAGATTCTTTGGACTTTCTTACGACATTCATCTTCTTTTGCCTCCTGACAGACCTTATCTACTGAGATTTTTTTTTACATCTCTCCATTGACAGTCTTCAAATCCACTTCTCAGTTTCTGGTCTTTCTTCAAGTTCACATTTCTTTCTACCTTCTTCGTATTTTCTTCCATGATGCATCATCTTTTCCAAACAAACATCACCAAAGCAAATCCTTCATTGCTATTCCTTCTTGCTGCTCTTTTCCCTGTCGTTGTTAAGATGTTCACTACGCTTCTCAGACTTGCAACTTTTTATTTCCTTCACCTTCTCCTAACCCTCTGTCTCACATCTATGTGCTCTCAAAATCTTGGATTTTACTCCTAACACAAAATCTGAAAAAATAATTTTAAAAAACTGAATTTGGATTTGGAAAATGCTAAATTATGGAAAGCTTTTTATTTTCATTCCCAACTTACAGAGTAAATATAAAAACAGTTAGTTATTACAGTTCTGTAAGTTGTCTGTAACCAGTATGACAGCCTTTCTGTCAAAGTTTCTCCCTGCTAATTAATGTTCCTAAACCATATTTTAGGCCATGGTAGAAGATAAAGTTTAATACATTAGAAGAGGTATTGTGTAGGCTGCAAGTTTAACAATAGGACAGAATTAAAATAATCTTGAATTAAAGGGAGGGAAAAAGGGAAAAATGTAACTTTTTCTTTTCCTCCAACCCTGAGAATTTTAATTAAAAAGCTATAGGAATTAAAGGAAAAGGAAGGACTCTTCCCTCTTATATAGGTTTGGTTTTACTATATTTCTTATCAACTTAGTGGTTCGTTTGGTTCGTTCATTTTTACGAAGTGTTCCTAAACTGGACGGAGTTGACCACACACAGAATTCTGAGGCTACTCCCTTTCTTCTATGAATGCCTTCATTTAGGGCAAGTATAATACAATCAGAAAAAGGAATCAGTACATATTCTATCAAGGAGACCCAAGAGGGCTAGGTCTTCTAGCTTATCCTAGCGAGCATAAAATTGTTCCTTCAGCCTAAGATCTGATTTTTTCCATCATTCTTTTTAAAATATATATATATTTTTTTTGTTTTGCTTCATTGCTCTTTCTTGGATATATGTTGGTTTGCTGAAGAAATATCATGCACTGTTTATAGACAGGAATGAACAACCTGTGTTGGAAATACATAATCCTTCCTGAGATTACGTCCATTTCTGTATACACGATCCTTAACCCAATCTCTTTGAAGTTCACATTTCTATGCTTCTGTCTTCCCTTCTAAGTTTTGGATGTAACTGAAAGAGCTGAAATGTAAGAATCATATTTATATGACATATCTGAGTTGTTACGAAGTTGAAAGCACTGGAATTTTGAAAAACACCTACTATCATAAAATAGCTATTCAGTCTGAAAACTCAAGAAGCTTCTAGATGATTGATGTGAGCGCTATATCAGATCTTAAGGTGTCTGGAATTTGTTTTGCTTTCAAAGTATTATTCCCTTGTCAGAAACAGAGCATTCTTGATTATCTTCAGATCAGTATAGATTTAAATTCCTACATTGTTCTTTCTTTCCTATTACTGAGAGAAACAAAATTTGCCTGGAAAAATCTCATTTGAGTGGAAACCCCGTCTCTACTGGGTCTGAATGATTACTACAAATAATGATATTTTACTTTCAGCGGTATGGTCTGGATATCTTAATCAGCCAAGGTTTTGTGGATAAAACACAAAACAAAAAGACCTCACAAAAGTTAAGAGTTGTAACTGTTAAGGGTTAGCCAATTCTGGTGGGTCTCAGGACCCAGCAGGTTTTCCCCTCTCTGGCCGATGGATGCAGCTGCTGCCGTTCCTGTTCAAGGTCTAGCAAGACTGAGCACATACTCCAAAGGTGCAGATCCACACAACACACACAGTTGGCCACGCAGATCAGCACAGGTGCCTCTATGGGCACCACATTAACATGAACGAAGACAGCCCAGTCCTGTTCCTCCTCTCCGGTGGATCAGGACTGAAGGTCACTAGTGAAGCATACACCCCTCAGTAGGTTCACAAGCACACCACCTGCACAGATCCTTCAGATACCAGCATGGGCCTTAAGTCCATCTAATCCGTCCTTGGACCCTGGTCCCCTTACCCAGTCATGGGCTCCAACTTTGGGTCTTTCTAGGGGTGGGTCGCTCCAACTTGCTGGCTAGTGCAGCCTGAATTTCAACTGACAAAGTGCATATACACGCACACACACGCACACACAGTAGAGAGCAAGGTCACACAGAAGTTAGGAATAAAATTTAGTGAGAAAATTGGACATACCACAGTGATCAGTTACAGGATTCAGTCAGTGGCAATTTGCTTACATGCCACTGGCCTCTTTTATCACCCCCTTTTTCCATTTTTGCATGCTTGTTCTCCCATCCACATTAGCCCTTGTCTTTGTCCATCCTTTTCTTCTCACAGATAATCCACCCCTAATTACTTCTTTTCCCATTGGTCCGGTTTTGCTGCATCCATACTCAAATCTGTTATTTGTGATATCATTACCTAGGTAAGCAGGGACTTAAATGCTATTACTAATATGGTTACCTAGATACTGCCAACCTTCGGGGTTCTGCTCCTCGAAAGGTCCCCAATAATCCCTTCAATTATCTACAAAGTTTGGCTGTCCTTCAAATAACTTCCCCTTAACCACGTGTGAAACCTTACCATCCGTCATGGAGCTATCTGTAACTTTTGTTAGCTTCTCACTCTATTATTTGCTATATCCAGCATTCTCCTATGTCATCTTCAGTATATTCTCATATTTTGTTCAGTTAGCTAAACCTCAGGCCAGAGCCTGCATACCTTAACAGCAACATCTTTTTCAGAATTTATAATATTTTGTTGTGTTCATGAAGCATTACATTTACAAAGTAATAAACAAGAAGTGACGACTGTATTACTATGACATATAAGCCAATGTTTCATGTCAGACTATTTGTGTTTAAAAAAGCTTTTGCAAAATGTGCACCTGTGGACTTGGATAAGTTGCAAATGTCATTTCTGTTTGAATGATTTTTGTAAACCTGCAAATTACAAGCCAGTGGTACATCCATTCATCCATTACGTTGCTTACCATTTATATCTTCGGGAACTCACTAAAGCAAATAAGCCAAGCATGCCTCAGCTAGCTTTAGCTGCAATGCTTGTTCTACAACTCTTTCAGAAAGCTCAGCAAGGAATTGCTTCATTTAGGAGATTCAGTCACTCATTTACTAGCATTTGCAAAGCTCTTAGGGCCCACAGTGTTGAGCTGGGAGCTCCCGCAATCAAGGCCATTTCTCTGCTCCCCTCTAAAATGTGTTTCAGTTCAGTTCTCTCTTCAATGGCTTATCAGTCCCACTCTGTAGCTGCAATCTATGGACATCTTGCATTTACGAAATGCGTTGCAAGTTGTCTTAGTACATGAGCTTACTTAATAACCTAAAATCATCAGTTTAGATCCTTAATGAATGTGAACTGTTATAACTCAGTTCAAGCCAAAGAAGCTGTGACAATTTGCACCATCCAAAAACAGCTTAATAGAGTGAGAATGCTTGAATAAGCAATATCCTTTTAGATCCTTTATTTTTATATTTTGTTTAGTTTCAGAGGGTTTTTTTGAGTTATTTTTAAATTGTGGTATATAGATAAAGCATGTGGATGTAATTTTTAGTCTGTATGAAAGCAGTACAAAACAAAAACAGTTGCATTTGGCCTTTAAATGAAAAGAATCCTAAGGAACATTAAAAATGTTAAATGTAATGCACAGAGCAAAGGCAATGAATTGCCAATACTGAATTCTATTTTCAGATTCATACTTGCTTCAAGACTTCAGTCTGACTGGATGCTGATGTTGTTCTTTGCACACACACACTTGACTGTGACAGTCACTGTTGGGCTACTTCTGATCCCTAAGGTACTCTATTTTCCTGTCTTTTTTCTCTTGCCAAGACCAAGAAGGATAAATATTGTCATGTGGAAGCAATTCTTTGTAAAATTAGGAAGCAACCAGTGGAAAAGGAAGATGTAAAATTTGACTGTGATGCCTAAATATAAATATAAATATATAAAATATATATATATAAGAGGCAGCCCACCTTTTTGTATTTTGAAGTCTCATTTTCTGTTACTTAAAATTTCCTTAAGCTTTTATTATGCCGGTATAAATCATTCACTTTGCCTACCATAGACTCTGTCTTTTAAAAAGTTGTGGCAAAAATGGTTGCAGCACTTCTCAGAATAAAATGAGAAGGTATGTGCTTGTTTTGGCCACATCAAATCATTCCTAGAATTACCTAATTGAGAAGTATGAGTGCTGTAGTCTCTTGCCCTGAAGAAAGGGCAAGAAATTTGGCAGATGGATTTGCTGACATTTGTCCACATCAATGGCATTTTAAAAATTTTTGCTTGTGTGAGCTTTGTGGAGATTTAGTGGAGTTTGGAAACCAAAAATGCCATATTCAGTGTGCACAACACACGCTCTGGGCTACAGGGGTTGAATTAAATGTTTTCTCTGGTTGCTAACTTCAGATATTTGGGTGGCTGTGTGGCTCCCAGTGTAATCTGAAGTCAGGCAAAGAATTTGGAGAAGGGGATGGGAAGGCTAGGATGGACCATTAAGTAAAATTGCAATGAGGAGCTCGGGCGGGCCATGAGAGAAGAGGCTGGGATTTATCCTGGGTGATTTTTCCTGAGCGATAGCAGACACTCCTTTGCAAGTCAGAAGCTTGGGACGTTCAGACCCGGTACTGCTAGGAGAGACTCGGCCCGTGATACAGAGCCAGGCACGGAGGCGAGTGAGAAGATAAATGTGTGAGGGACAAGGGAAGAGGCAGAAAGGCTGGACGCAGGGAGCAGAACAGAGCTTTGAGCTCTGCAGTCTGTTTCCCGTCAGGCTCAGGAAATGAAACTAAAATATGCCAGTCACCCTGGTGTAGGAAAACCACAGGTAGCGCCACCTGTCCCTAGTGCCAGTCCACGGGATTTGAATGGGGCTTTCTTCTTATGCAGTGTCCTGGCAAAAAGAATGGTTTGATAATAGCACTTGGAATGACCAGTTCTATGAGTCAAAAGCTCAAGAACCAGAGAGGATATTAAAGATGAAAAGCAACACATGAACGAGGAATGCTATAGAGTTCCAGTTAATACACTTTTAATTTAGTGAAGCTGCTTTTCCTATCATTTGTCTGTGTCAAAACAGTATGCTGATAACTGTCAAATACACATACATTAAACAGTCACAACAAGAGGACATGATGATGTAGCCTTAACAACAAATAATCTGTTTAATGATTTTTCTGGTTTTATTATTTTCTTTACCATATCTGTATACTTTATTACATATCTTCAGAGATGTCTTTCTAGACCAGCCTAGAAAATGTAGTAACCTTTCTGAAGCTGACTCATAACTACTGATCAACATTTCTATTTTTAGTTTATTATCTGTGTAACACTACACAGACTTTTCTTCCAGCATCCCAAAGAATTCAGGGAATCAATAGAAGATTCACAAGGTTTAGTTCCATTTATAGATAGACATAAAATCATGAGGCCAGATGACTTTGTGCACAATGATAACTAGAAATTCGTTAAATATAAATAAAAAATAGCTGACAACCTCTGTCCAACTTTTGATAGGAGCATTTGCTAAAACTTAGAAGAGAGGAATTAATTTGTCTCCTTGCTAATTTACCTCCTTTTGGTGTTTTGCCATCTCTTCTCTTCCTTGTTTTGGGTCAGAATCTAAAATGAAAGCATTGCTTTCTGCAAGATCATTCAACGGTATGGAATATAAAATAAAGTCTTAGTGGCTTAGCAGCCTAATTGGAAATACAGGCTAAATGTCTATTCCCATATATTTTTCATGATATTTTAATTTAAATGCAATTTAAAGAGGTTCAAATGAGCATTGAATTAAGCATGAGGACTTTTTATAATGCAAATGTCTAAACCTTTTCAAGTTAGGTCATCATTAATAAGAGTTCCTTCCATACAATTCTGTAGGACACTGCTTAAGCCAATGATGCTTGTAGCTAATATTTTGAGTTCACACAAGCCAACATGAAATCCATAGAAAGATCACTGTCCCCCTAAAAATGTTTATGTAAACTTTTACAGTTCACTGATGGCAACATCTTTTTTATGAATACATATTGCAGTTTTCACATTCAAGCAATAACCCAAGAGATGATATAGCTACAGAAGCATATGAAGATGAGCTTGACATGGGTCGATCTGGATCTTATCTGAACAGCAGTATCAATTCAGCATGGAGTGAACATAGTTTGGATCCTGAAGACATTCGGGTATATATAACTTTTAAATATCATTTCTTTTCAATAACACATACTTTTTCCTACCAGTAAAGTCTGAATCACATCCATTTGACTTTTTTGCAGATACCCGATGAAACAGGCCAGCTTAGGTCTTGCAATGATTGTGGTATCAGGTCATATAACATCTTTTAGAAAAAATTTACTAGTGTAAAGGGAATCTGCAATACTAGTTATAGAAAAAAGTCCTACTGGAGGCTGAAGAGGAGGAAGCCACAGCAAGAGCTATTTTTCAGTTTACATAGGCTCTTTGAATTAGCTTGAACCACAAACAGAGTTTGGTGTCAGTGTGATTAGTCGTATGTCAGTACTATATAACATATAACTTCATCAAACATAACAAACAACAAAATCTTCATTCCTGTCCTACAGGATAAAAGGTCACTTCTGTCTGGAGCTTATCTGACTTATGTTCCCAGAATAAAGCATAGCTGTAGAGTCCGGTAGGAAAACATGCAGCACAGTATTGCAGTGAAATCTAAAACATGCAGTATGCATGTGTATTAATTCTCTTTGCATGCTGTATGCTATGCAGACGTGCAAGGCAACTGTTTTGTGCAATGATTTTAGGGTTGAATTTATTTTTAAATTGGAAAAAAATGGGATCCAAGTTAATGGATATTCAAGCATTAGAAAGACAGTGAAAGAAGTTTAATGTGATTTTTAGTCTAATAGGTAATGCATTCATTGGGAAGCTAGTTTGACTGGACTCTGTACATACTAGTTGTGCCATTCGCTTTGCTTTGCAGGATGAGTTGAAGAAACTGTATGCCCAGCTTGAAATCTATAAAAGGAAAAAGATGATTGCTAATAATCCACATCTCCAGAAAAAAAGGTGCTCTAAGAAGGGCTTGGGGCGGTCAATAATGAGACGTATTACAGAAATCCCAGAGACAGTCACAAGGCAGTGCTCCAGGGATGAGAAGGACCTGATGGAGCACAGTGCTGTAAAGAGCACTGCTGCATTGAGGAAAAACCCACAGGATTCCACAAGTTATGTAAAGCCAAAGGAAGAGACTTTAAAAAACAGAGTATTTTCATTAAAGAAGTCCCACAGCACTTATGATCATGTTAGGGATCAAACAGAAGAACCCAATAGCTTAGCTAGAGAAAGCGTAGAAGTTGTAACTGCTGAAAATTCACTTCTGGATTCCTTGACTGAGAACAAATTAACCAAAAAAGCTACTGAAAAAGTTGAAGCTGCGTCCACTGAATCGGTCCCTTTGGTGTGCAAATCAGTAAGTGCACATAACTTAAGTGCAGATAAGAAGCCTCTGCATCCAAGAACATCTGTGTTACAAAAATCCCTCAGTGTTATTGCTAGTGCCAAGGAAAAGACTCTAGGACTAACAGGTAAAACGCAAAGTCTTGAAGAAAGCACTAAATCTCATAAATCTCAACTGAAGGGTAAGGAGACCAGTAAAAAACACTCAGTCTCTGATAAAGGGGAGCATAAGGATTCCCACTGGAAGAACTCTACACACTCTGAGGAGACAAAGAAAACCCATAAATCTGGAATTATGAAACAACAAAGGGTTAGTCAGCCATCTGCAAATCCTGACACAGGCCCCAGTAAGTCTCTGCACAAGGATAATTTTGACATAGGAGAAGTTTGTCCTTGGGAGATATATGATCAAACTCCTGGTCCTGTGCCTTCTGACTCTAAAGTTCAAAAACACGTGTCTATTGCTTCCTCGGAATCAGAGAAAAATCACCCTTCCCAGCCAAAGGGGAAATCTCATCATAAGCTGAAGACAGCTGAGGGGTATCAACCATCAAATCAAAAGAGCTCAGAGAAGTTGGAGACAGCCTCATGGGAGACACAAGAGCAACAGGCTTTTGAAAATGAGAAAAATCAGGTGAATTCCAAGTGTCAGGTCACCCCTGGGTTGACATGTGAGAATGTTAATAGATGTGCACCCACTCTCTGTGCTGGGGAGTATGAGGAACTACCCCAGAAAGCAACAGAAAAGGAAAACCTCAATAAATTGGCAGAACAGAAAAGAAATGCCTCTTCTGAGGGAAATGTGGTTTCATCTGACTCCCATAGGCCACGTAGTTACTTACAGCAACCTTTAGCATCTCGAGCTGAAGTCTGCCCTTGGGAGTATGATACACCGGATTTACCAAATGCAGAAGGAAGTGTAGCTTTATCAAACACCTCTACTATAAGTGCAAATAAAACAGCAACACCTCGAAAATAAGAGGTTTTGGACTGAGGAGAGTAGCAACATTAAGAAGACAACAGGAAAGACAGAGGGGACTTAGGCCAAAAGGATCTGAAAATTCCTAAGGAGCATCACTTAAGAGAATCAGCACAACACATAAGTAGGAAATAAGCAGAGTAAATTATTATTGTTCTTATTTTTCATTTGTTGAGTGCCAGCAGTGTGATTTGCAGTGTCCAGAATGTGGTCCCTGCTGCAAGGAGTTAACTGTGTCAATGAAAGAAACCTGCCTTTGTGAAGTCACTTCTCTTTTAAAAGAAAAAAAAATGTTGATAACAAGCGCACACCGTATATCTTAAGAGAATTATTTCTGAATGCCCACAACTGGCTTTAACTTGCCCTTGGGACTTTAAAGATCCAACAGAAGTAGGGCACAGAAAATGTCCTGGTGGCAAATGGGGTATCAACGAGCAGCTTATTATTAATGACGACTTTTCACTTTGCATATTTAATCTTGATAGCACTGCTAACTCAATGCATCCCAAAAATACATTTTATATAATGCTCTCATTTTCTTATTAATGTATGTTTAAGTATATCGTTGTGTCTAATATTAAAGCATTCCAGATTGTATAATTTTTGCAAATAACTTTGATATTATGTGACACAACAACACATTTATGCAATCTGCAGATACTTTCTTCTTATTGCAACTTAAAATACCTGCTATAGACTTTTTGTTTACATATAGAATTACAGTAATCTTTCACTGGCTATGGAAGCCGTAACTTCTATGGGGAAATTCCTTTGGGCTTTGAGAGATTTTTTTTTCCTTTGCTGTGATTTATATAGTGATTTTTTGTTCTACTCTCTGTTATTTAAATTTATAGTTTGATACGGTATTATTCAGGGGTTTTATACAAGGTAAGTTGCTTGTTGTGCACTTCCCTGGTAACGCTCATAGACTTTGTTAATAGCAGAAATCAAGTCGTCTTAGCTGCATATTCTGGTAAGTCTTAGGACAACTTATCTGTTGTTTGTTAAAAATTGGAAAATATCATCTAACTGGAATTCCTACTTTAATCATCGTTATCTTGTTCAGTAATTCATACTGAGCATATCCTACTAAATGAACCAGGGTAGAATGACAACAGATATACCATGAAATTATGACCTATTTTCCTGAAAATATACAACTCTGCAAAATACATTACCTAGCTCATTTAGCACAACATTTAACATTTATCCCTATTGGCAAACCTCCAAAAATTGTCCTTTAGACATCCGCAAGTGAGGAGAGAAATCTAAAACGTTACTTTTCCCCCATATATGCAACTGCGAGAGACAGATGGGAATAGAAATTATGGCATCTCTCTCTCACTCTCCAACATGCTTTGATTTGTTTTTATCTATACATATATTTACAGTAAAAGTTAATATTTTATACAGTTCTAATTTTCAGTAATAGCTACAGTCCTCATCCTGCATATGAGCTTAATTCATAGATGGCCCATTCACATCTATGAGCCTTAGGGCATAAACACTCATGGTAGGAACAGGGTCTAAGGGGTATTGTGGAGGATCTGAGAAGTAACACTAATAATAAAAAGCTAGGTACCACCCTCACCCGTCTGAGTTTAGTTCCAGTACAGTGCTATTTACTAGAATTGTCTGTACAAACAATAACCCAAAATAAAGACAGTCCCAGTCCTAAAGAACTTGTGCAATTTGAGAGAAGTGATGGGATTCAGTGGAAGAACGGGAAATGAGGATGATTGAATAGGATGTGTTGTTTAATATATATAATATATATATATATAAAATAGATATTTATATATGTTTAATATATATATATAACATGTCATATCTAATACACACTTGCACATACATGTCTGTAGTATAAACTGATTTTTGTGGCATCATAGAAAAGGTGGCTTAAGATAAAATGCAAAGAGCAGAGGGACTTGGACAAGCTAGGCACGAGGAGGACATTTCTTGTCCTTTAAAAAGGACTGGAGAGTTTGGGCACATCTGCCCTGACAGATCAAGACAGATCAGATCTTCCTACTGCCTCTGCTAAGCTCAAACCTGGAACATGCAAACACCTGAACTAGCTGGAGACAAGACAGCTCAGGTGTCAGCCTGGGTGAACATATTAGCCTTGCTCGTATACTTTGCCAAGAGTCTTGAGCTCATTAGCTCCAGATTAAAGTGGCTGGACTGCCCCAGAGCAATTTGGTGAGTCTAGGTGGTGCTGTGTTGCACCGCAGAGACTTGCTGACTTGGGTGTTTGCTGTCCTGGGCTCATCTGATTCTCCCACCACTCTTTTGTAGGATGTAGTTATGGCCTTTGCTTTCTGCACACTTCTCTTGGCCGGGACCTTTGCAACCTGGCATCCCTCCTCACCTGTGAAAGGGAGTCATGCACAGATCTGATACCGGATGCTTTGAACATCTCCACACGCACTTTGCACACGCAGTGCCAGTGGCATCCCAAATTCAGCCTAAACCCAGCTCTGTGCATGCTGTGGAAAAGAGCTGAGGTTGGAGTGGGTGTGCCCAGATCCTCCCTTTCCAATCCCAAACACTTAAAGAATTTGGCAAGAAATTTTCTGTCAGCTTCAGCAGGATTTGATCAGGTCTTCAGAGAGAAGGTAATTCTAAATTTCCCTGCATGGGATAAGTCTGTCCTGGGAACACAGCTCTTCAGGAGTCCTGCTGGAGCACACTAAGCCCTCTCCAGAGTGGTGCACAACCTTAAACCTGCTAAGTGTGGTGACCACTTTGTGCCTCTCCTACTCTGGAAAGGCAACGGTGCCCCAGGAGACTCTGCAGCACTGCCAGGTGAGCGTTAGTGTGACCACGGGACACCATACAGCAGGGTGTCCCAGCTCACACCCAGTTGTCTGCACTTTGTCAGAGCCAGATGCTGATATTAGAAAAAGGTATCTGCAGGGGAATTGTGAAAGGGAATAATATCTTGTGCATACTCTCTGCCTTTTGGATGCATGTTCAGAAGGAGCAGGCCCCAGCCCCCTCCACCCTCACTCATCCTGCCCTCCTTTTTAGCCCTCAGAGCTGAGCGAGGACATGCTGCCTCTGCACTGTGGATGGATGTCACGTGCGCCAAGGGCAGGGGTACCACATCAGCAAACTACCCAGGCAGCGCCACTGTCCCCTGCATCACTGGCAGGATCAAGCCCTTCATGTGTGACCGTCTGTGGCACCACTGATCCGTCTGCAATTCCTCTCTGGTTTTATTCTTCTTTCTTTCTTCCTCTTTCTTTGTTTCTCTTTCTTTTCCTTCCTTCCTCCCTTCCTTCCTTTCTCTCTCTCTCTCTCTCTCTCACTTCAACGCTTGCTCACTTTCTCTCACGTGCTTTTTCTCCCTTTCTCTTTCTTGTATTTCTCTTTATTAGACACACAGAAACAAAAGTCCACTCCTAAACTGGTGTAAATCAGCCCAGCTTCATTGCAAGCAAAAGAGTGATTTACCAGGCAAGGCACTGGCTACTATATTCTTGGTTTTTTTGTTTTCTTTCATCCTGACCCTTTCCCTCGCTTCTTAAAAAATGTCTGTTATGGTTTTTTAGGTTTGTTGTAGTCAAATATCCTAAGACTGATACAATTGGAGACCTTTCCTTTAGAAAGCAATGAGGCTTTACCTTGTTTATTTAGCAACTGATATGTGGGCTACAGATTTAATTGGTACTTTAGATTATTTTGCACTTAAGAAAATGAGGGGCCAAACTTCACTCAACTGTTATATTTCACTATGATGCTGCTAGAAACATTGCTTAATGAAGACATACTAAGTTAGACATAAACGATGTTCTGTGTTTCATAGATTTATCTCCACCAGCATATATTGGCTAGATTGCTTAGTTGTCTCTTTCTGGAGTTTCATTGTCATTATTCAGCCAAGAAAAGTGCAACTCTAGAATTAAGATGTTTTCTAGCAGATCTGTTAAGAGAAAAGATAGTACTAAGGTCACAAACATTTGCTAGGTTGTCCTTTTAAATGCATGTGCAGGCTGCATTTTTCCTTTATTTCTAAGCCATGATTTATAAATAATTAGATTTATACCAATCTCATTAGACTTGTATAATTTATGCAAGATTATACGCTTTAAAATATAAATCAATACACACCTATCATCAGCTTTGGTGGCATCATAGACCTGAAACCGGACAATACTTTTATATTTGCTCTCCTTAGGCTTTTGCATGCATATGACAACAGGCAGGCCTGAGAAAACACTGCCTTTTGACTTTTAACATTTTAGCTACTCCAAGTTGTAGGGTATATAAAGCTGTAAGTCTCTTCACTTTATAATGTGGTTCTTATAACAATGTTATCTGGCAACCTACAGCATCCACCATGAAATACTTGATAGATTTATGTTGTAATGTGTTGCAGCATGTAAATAATGTAACTTCTCTGCAATAAAGCACATTTATATGAAAGCTATCTATGACCTTTTGTGTTGTAATTTTCTGAAGTCATCACTGATTCAAACAATGCAAATTTCTCATCAGACTTATAAAACAACTAAAAATGAGTTTTCCAGCATATACAATCTAATCATATAATTAACATTTTTGCCATTTTCCTCACGTTTTCTTGACACAATGTTTTAGCAGTGCATGACCAACAACTCTCTCCTCTCGGTGGCTGTAATTTTTAGATCAAAACCCTAGGGTCCATGCTATGTTCTCTCTGAATTTAATGGCAAATAGAACATTTGAAAACATTAGGAAAGAAAGAGAGGATATTTTATTGTGTCATGGTAAAAGCCTGTAGTTAACCTGTATGATACTTATGCATGTCAAATGTATACATATGTAAGAGGACCAGAAAATGTACAAAGAAGGGTAACAAAGACAATCAGGGGTAGAGAATGGATGTTGTATGAGGGGTAACTAACTAAAAATCATTTAGCTTGGATGAGAGACAATTAAAGGTGGGGGAAGACCTATATAAACTTATGAATGGTCTGAAGGTGATTAGGAAATTATTTGCTGCTTTTCATTAGAGTGGAATTACAGAAGACCCGGGGAAGTCATCAGACAGCAGTTTAAAATAAATGAAGTTTTCTTTTGCATATGGCATAATTAAATTGTGGAGCTCATTCTCACAGATTGCTGTGGAAATCATGAGTTCAAAAAGCATTAGACAAGTCATGGAAGAGAAATCCATCAAGATCCATGAAAACAGCAGACTCAATTCCTACCTGCAGACTGCTGAAAAGTGGGAGACTGCCTTTGCAAAATCACCCTGTTTTTATTCCATAATCATTCACTACTGGATATGGTGCTAGATAAACATTTCATCCAGTCCAGCCCAACCTTTATGAGTTCTTATGTCTGCATAAATACAGCTAGTTAGGCTTAAATCAGTTTATTTTCTTTTGTCATTCCTGTTTTTTAATGCCCCTTTATTCATGTAGGCATTCTGGTAATTTTTGTCACAGGTTTAAATATTCACTTGTAATGAATGCATTGCAACCCAATGCTCCCTGGGTTTAAACACTGCCATTTCCTTAACCATGCTGAGTCATGATACCCAGGAGTGATGGGAACATGATGTGGAGAGAAGAGGGAAGGGAATTACTTACATTCAGTAGATAAACTGTGTACAAGTTCTTTCTAAGCAAGAATGCCAGCTGTGAGAAAAACAGGACCTGCGACGTTTATACTGAACCACTTCATAGGGCCTACCTCATCACATCTAGGGCAGTGTGGCTTTCTCACACTCAGGGTGTCATAACCGGTTGTGGCCTTTTGAAGTCAGCTTCTGAAATTTTCATAGCTTTTAAGAAGTAAGGGAATGATTTCAAAGGTTTTATTGCTTTGGAGTTCTTAGCAAATGGATTAGTGACAGACTGGTGTAAAAAAGAGTTACACACACACACACACACACACAAAATACTTTCAAACACTTAAAGAAAATGAAAGTCTAGGTCCTTGCATGTACTGTAGCAGAAATTTGATGATATTTTCTATGACCCTCTTGCTTCTTCCATGGAGACCTTTTCTGAAATGGATATCCTTTGAGTTGGAGCGCTTGCCCTGCGAGGAGAGGCTGAGGGAATGGGGCTTGTTCAGCCTGGAGAAGGGACGGTTTTGGAAGGACCCAGCAGCAGCAACCCAGCACCTGCAGGGACGTCATCAAGAAGACAGAGCCAGGCTCTTCACAGCGATGCATAGTGGGAGGAAGAGAGAGCGCAGGCAAGAATGACAGCAGGCATAAATTCAAACAAGAGACACTCAGATTGAATATAAGACAACTTTTTCACCATGACGACAGTCAAGCAGTGGCACAGGTTGTCCTGAGAAGTTGTGCAGTCTCTCTTGTTGAAGGTTTTCAAGACCCATGCAGATAGAGCCCTGACCAACCTGGTCTGACCTCATAGCTGACCCTGCTTTGAGCAGGAGGTTGGACTTGAGACCTCCTTAGGTCCCTTGTAGCTTGAATTATCTTATGATCCTATGAACAGAGTGTTCACTACTAACACATATTCTGCACATCATCCTTTGGAAAGCATGCAGAAAGATACCCCAGGCCCTTTTGACTCCTGCCTAGGAATATAGGGCATGTGGTTATTTATACAAACACCTAACTGTGGACAGCCTCTCTTAACAGACTCCAGCTGTTGTAATAAAAATGCATTTTGCTTCTCTTCTGATCCCTACAGCAAAAAGTGGTAACAATGACAATGTGAAGAAGGAAATTTTTTTTTTTTAGAAATGGTTGGAGAGAACAATTTTAGTTATGTATGCTGAAGGAGTGTTTGAACTGGTGTATAGTTGAAATTTGTGATTTTTGTGATTTGAATCACAATAAAACAGGATAATGTTTTTCTGTAACAATTCTGGGATATTTTTAATCAACACAGGATTCTGGAGGAGCGATCACATAATTTTTTGATTTTTTTTTTACAAAATAGCAGTTATTTCAAAATGGCAATTGATTTGGTTGAGGCTTACAGTGCTGTATACCTTCCTGCAAAGAAGTTATTTCAAGCTGAACACTTCTTTTCCTAATAAAATAGGATTTCTGACAGGTTGGAGCTAACTTTTTTAAATTCCGAAGGGGCTAATTTCATCAGCTCAGAAATTAGCTTCCGCAATGCTAGAAATTTAATAAAATTTGTAAAATAATTGATTCTTTAACTTGGTTTTTCAGGCCTCCATCATATCGCAATGTTTAGCCTTCTGATTCTTTAAAAATTGTAAAACTGAACATTCTCTTCATTATGCAGTTGATGTTTCTTTTTTCTTGTTATTTATTTAGGAGTTAGCTTTTTTGAGTTAGCTGAGTGTTTTGAGGAGTTAGCTTGACCAATTGCCATCAAATTACTAGATTTTAGACTCCTGAATATGTGTGTTGGGCCTAATTTTTCATTGTATTCTAAGTATGTAAAAACAGTACATTGTACCAAATATAGGCTCATATATTCCTGAAATGTGCATTTATAATCTATATAATACAGATATATATTTCATATATACATGTATACAAACATGAATATATATAAGATTCATTCAAATGCTTATAACCACTATTCATAACATGTATATAAATAACCTGTTTGTCTATATGTATTTAGAGGGAAATAAAACTGTAATGTAATTCATCTTTCCATTACAAACAAATCATTACATTTCTACTTGCAAAATGAAGCAAAGTGTAAGATTTGCACTTTAGAAATTAATTTCAGATCAACTTATAGCTCTGTGGAAGCAGCAGTGAACAAGTGGTGCTGGTACCACCACTTCAAGCTAGCACCCTCTGGAGAATAAGGGTGTTTTTTTAACATCTTATTGTTCAGGATGGCCTAAGACATATAGAATTGTTACATTTTTGTACTTGCGGAAGGCAAGATGTTCCAGTAGATGAGTAGCAGTCTTTAAAAGTGATTTAAAAGGTTGCTAAGCCTGTTTAATGGGAGTCCTGTCACAAAATTCAAACCGCTGCATGTCTTTCAGATCTACGTGCATGAAACGAGCTGAGCTAGGGCTTGCCAGTGTGTTTCTAGGCTGCTGTGGTGTTGGATAGATGTTCTGTGGTGAAGTCAATGCAGAATGCTGTGCAGTCCCATCGCCCTTGGGGCCGTCGTGCTCACACGCACCCTCGTGCCTTCCTGCTCGCTGGAGCTGTTGACCTGCTTTAGCATTGGGGAATCAGGGTATGAGCTTAAAATCTGTATTTGACCATTCTTCTTGGCAAGCCACTCATAATGGTACCTTCCTGACATGCCTTTTCCCCTGATAATGCACAACAGTTGACTATAGCAGTGAAGGTGAGATGTTTTTTCTGTGTGTTATGGGCCTGAGCATGCAAGGATGCCAAAGAAAGGGGCAGAGATATCCTTTTGGAGGATCCTACTTGGACCCTTCTGGAGCTGAATGCTATTAGGTGTACTGGTTGACAGATGATGTTTAGAGGAGTTTAGACTAATTGCACGCTAAAGATGAAAAAGAGGTTGATTTGACATAGTTCACTGATAAAAATAGTATCATATAATGATGTTTATGCTATTACATGAAAAAATTTCGAAGCTAGGATGGTAAGAAACATGGTTCCAAGCAGTCATCTTGGTGGCTTGGCAATCTATTTTACCAGAAGGTAGTCACACCACACTGAAGACGACACCTGTCCAACTCTGTTCACTCATAGCACTTTATGAGGTACATGGAAAATATATATTAATTGTATAAGCTTGCAAAATTGTCAAGTGCTCCTCTTTATGCAATTTATCTTTAAAATTATATTTTTATTCATTTTAATATTTTAATTTTGTTATATATCTGTTTCCCTTGGTTGACATCAACGTTGTTACCCAAGTGGTTATTTTTTCAAATGTTTTACAGAAACTTGCTACAAAACTTTGATTTGAAGCTCAGCTGCCCCATTGGAAGGCCAGCAGTCTTACCACAGATACTTTTAATGTGTTTGAAGTCAAAAGGCAATAGTTTCACAGTTTAAGAAATTTACATTCAGAAAAAATTGAATATTTTAAAATGCAGCTTTGAAAATTTGTATCCTGATGACTTTAATTAGCATTTATGTATTCTGTTTTAATGACCATCAGCCTTGCAGTAAATATGAACTGCTAGCAAAATGCTATGTTCATTACTTCCTAAGTGGTATTTAGATGTATGTTTGCTTCCAGGATTTATGATTAATTATAGATTGCCATTGTACACTGCATGACCTTTCCATTCAACCATTTGTTGTCTGCATTACAACTGGGATTGTGAAAACATAATTTGACAAAAATCTAGAGCCTAGGTTGGGCTTGGGTTTTTTAGATTTGCCATCTAGTCTGTGTATGACTCCATGTTTCTGACAAATCTTTTGTATACAAGCTATACTACCACTTGTTTCCTTGTAAATGTAAATATTATTCTTAATTCCTTGGGAGCAATATTATAATTCAACATAATGGACAAGCAGTTACTAAC